GGGGCACTGAAGAATGAACAAAGATAAGCTAGAGAGAAGGAGGGGCCAGATCACAAGACACATTAAAGAAAGACCATGTCCTGGGATATGCACCAAACGATTTAAAGGCAATTTTCCTTGAGAAGTGAGAATGGGGAGAAGTGAGAAGACTTCACTTTATTATTTTAAATACCCCCATAATGTTAGACATTTACTTTTTAGAATGCCATGCATTCCTTCTGTAATTCAAATTTTTAATTAAACAAAACAAAATTTTTATTTATTTTTACTTTAGAGCGATTGAGAGCATACACACAAAGGAGAGGGGGCAGAGAGGAAGAGAGAAGGAAGGACAGACAGAGAATCAAGCAGGCTCTATGCTCAGCACAAAGCTGGATGCAGGGCTCGATCCCACGACTCTAGGATCCTGACCTGAGCTGAGATCAAGAGTTAGATGCTCAACCAACTGAGCCCCAGGTGCCCCAAAACAAAGAAAGTTTTAAAAGCTGAGTCTAACTGCACTGGGGAGAATGGGTTGGAAGCAGGACAAGACTAGAGAAAGGAGAGGTGGCCTGAACTGGAGTCACAGCAGTGACTATGGGAAGAAGATATGATTAGAAAGTAAAATGGAAAGATTTTGGTAAAGAATATAGGAAACAACTAGATTTCTGACATGGGCAAATGGGTGGATGGTGAATGGTGGGGTCTTTTGTTCAGTTTGGGAAAACAGGGCATGACACAGGTTTAGGTAGGGTAAAAATGAGTTTAGATTTGATCATATTAAGCTTGAAGTACCTAGAGGACATTCACATGGAATTCAAAGCTTATTAGAGGTCCTGAATCTATAACCCTGGAGGAAAAAATCTGACTTACAAAAAGAAATGCGGCTATTCTCAGCACATATATGGTAACTTAAGTCCTGAGAAAAGATAGGATTGCCCAGGTATATGTAAAGAGTAAAAAGAGAAGGCTGAAACAGAAGCTGGAGGTAAAGCAATATATAAAGTTGAAATTCTCAGAATGATCTGTGATCCATCTGTATCATGATCTCCTGAGGGGTTTGGTAAAAATGTGGAATTCTTGGCTTTACTGGTTCAGATACTTTAGTGGCCTAGGAACCTGTATTTTAAGCAAGTACCCCAGATTATTTTTGTGTAAGGTAAAGTTTGAGAACCACTGATCTAGAAGATGAGTGGAGGAAGAAGAGCTGGAGAAAAGAAAAGAAAAAAAAAAAGGTTAAGAAGGAGCTGTACTCTGCTCACCCCCAATGAAAAATGAGAATTTTGTGTCACGGTAGCCATTGGAAAACAGCATATCCATCAAAGCACAGTGGGCTGGTGAAAAATAAGCTGTCAGTAAATACTTGTTTAATAAGTAATTGGGAAAAGTATTTAAAGTTATAATTTACCTCTGTATACTTATAAGCTATTACCTACTCTATAGTATAAACAAAGTTAACCCCTGGGAATTTATAAGATAATAGAATAGTAGGAAGTGGGAAAAAAAAGGATTGAGAATCACTTTGATGTCAATGTCTAGGACAAATTACAAAGGTTTGGCAGGTACCTAGCAAGTTAGTGAAGAAACAACCATGACCTCTCAGATCCAAGTAAATTCCTGAAGTATATAAACACAGAAGCAAAGCTCTATGATAAAAAGATGGGCTCAGTTTTGAAAAGCACTGAAATAAACCTGTCAGCTTCATAGTATCATCCAGATGCCCTCTCCCAGATTAACCAATTACTTAATACCCAAATCAAGCCACTCCTTCACTTATAAGCTATTAAAGACCAATAGATAAAGATTTAGTCTGTTTGTCCAACTAAACCTGACAGCTCTTGCTCAGGTGATAGTTGCTGAAATATTACTGCTTATCAAACACTTCTTATGCCAAAGTTGCTAGGTTTCAGATCGTCAGCTTTGTCAGAAACTTCATTTGTTCTAAGCAGTTAAAAGGATCTGTACTTTAAAGACATTTGCTTGATAGAAGGCAAAATGATGAAATAACCCCCAAATTAAATCACACCTATTTTTGACGCTTCTCCACCCACCCCCAATTTAAAGTCATCACAAAACATTCTGCAGAGGTAAAGCAAACTGGAAAAGAGAAGACTTTTACTTCATTATTCCCATTTTTTACTTTTCTTTCTATTTCTTCATTGGTAGGTATTATGAAAGGGGGGGAAGGCACTTCAAACTTACCGAGTACAAAGTGCTCACTTGCATGTTACTGCAGATTTTTACTTACTGCTATCACTAAATGCCACTCATCAGTTATGTGACTGTGGGTAACTTTCTCTCCTATGAGTTGTACCATATACCCTTTAAGAATTTTTTCCTAGTCTAAAGTACTATTGTTCTAAGATTTGAGAAGGAAACAGTCGGTAGCTAAGAAATATTATAATGTTATGAGAGTTGATAACAATTATACTCTTCATTTACTTAAAGTTTTAGAACTCCACTTATGAAGACAGAGAATATCCAGGGGCCATGAACCCCAGTGCTAGAAGTACAACTTCTTTTTTTTTTTTTTTTGTTAAGTAGGCTTCATACATGGAGACCAATGTGGGGCTTGAAGTCATGACCCTGAGATCAAGACCTAAGCTGAAGTCAAGAGTCGACTGAGACACCTGGGTGCCCCTTTCCCCTCCCCCACCTATTTTTAGAAGTACAACTTCTTGATTTAATAAGTCTAAGACAAACTGGTAACATTTCAGGAGTTCATTTGTTAGCTGGTAATTCAGAACACGGAATATTGGTTTTTCCACTGATACATTATGGTTAGGCTCTTAGGCTAATTCACAAAATTGAATTTAACCTTCAAGTGACTGTCCAGACAATTTTGACAAAAACAGAAAAATAAATATTGCCATACTAGGAAGAAAAAAAAAAAAAAAAAGAGAGGCACCTGGGTGGCTCAGTCAGTTAAACACCCAACTTCGGCTCAGGTCATGATCTTGCAGTTTGTGAGTTTGAGCCCCATGTCAGGCTCTGTGGTGACAGCTCAGAGCCTGGAGCCTGCTTTGGATTCTGTGTCTCCCTCTCTCTCTGCCCCTTCCATGCTCTCGCGTGCACGCACTCTCTCTCTCAAAAATAAATGTTAAAAAATTTTTTTTAAAAAAAGGAAATGAAAAAAACCACAAATTTATCTCAAAGCCTATTCTTCACAGTGAAGTCAACCAAAGGATCCATTGACCTGATTACTCTGTAGATGCTCCAAGTAATGAGATTATAACAGCCCACTCCTTAAGTCCATGGACCCCAAGTACTCTAGCTTAAATAAAGAAAAATTTTCAGGTACAGGGGACACAAGGGGATCAGAGGTATGCCAAAGCCCAAAGCTGGGAGAAAAGCATAAAGGTGAAGAGAAGAGGAGCACCTCTTCTTAACTACCCCAACTGCAGTGGGAAAGGAACTCAGACTCTAGAACATTCTCTTCACATCCCAGCTAAGGATTCCCTGAGCAATGCTCCTGGAATTTAGTGGCAGCTCAGTAAACATGGAACCTAAAAACATATAAGGTATGCTTCCCAGCTGAGACAGGGATTGTGGAAAGGAATAATTCCCTAACATGCCATGCTGAGAGCTCACCACTTGCTCCTGCCAGAAGTGACCACAGTTCTGACTGGGAGGACCCTGCCTGGAAGAATGGCTGCCTCCTTGCTGTGACTGAAGCCCCATTTCAACCCCTTTTCAGGGCCAGGTCTTCCAATGTATTTGTGTGTTCACAAGTTTGTAGTTGTAACTTGTGGGTGTCTATCTTTATCATTTGCTAAGGCTTGAAATAGAAAAACCAAACAACTGTTCTCTTCTCCTGGGAAGAACTGCTTACTGTACTTACAATTTTACAGTGATGGAAAATATCCCTATGTAAGTCTGTATTTGGGGCAATTCAGATTTTTAATTCATAAGTACTTCTCCACGTTCACTATGGAAAACAATGACCTATCTAATTTGGACAAGTTTAAATATCAGGCAGAGTTTCAAAAGGTATTTGCCACGCTAATATTCTAAAGTTGCCATTTCAGTTTACCCTTAGCCCTCTCCCTGATATTAGACCACTTTAAAGCTAAAATCACACTTCTGCTCTCATTTAGATATTATAACCAAAAACAAGTAGCAAGGAATATGGTATGTCAGTTAGGACACAATATATATATATATTAAGCTTTTAATTAATTGTTGCTGAACATATGAATAGATCTGCAGTACACCCAAATCCATATCTAAAAGGGATCTTTCAGTTCTTTAATAAGCATATGCAAATGTGATAATTCATCACAATCTAAATTGAGTTTTGGATTATGCCCGCATTTGAAATATTGCCAGGAAGGAAAGCATAGGTAATATACCCAGCTATCCGAGTGGCACTCAGAAGATGATCATGTATTCAACTCTCTTACTTTACTTATAAATGTTGCTTTTCCTTCAGATTAAATCCAACTTTCCTTCCCTAGCCTCTTCTTGTTACGCTGAAGACACCAGCTTTAGGTCTTCTGGTATAAAATTTTGTGGTTGTATGAACTTAACATTGTAAATGTTATGCAGCAAAGTATTGGACAAATTCACTGAAAAAGACAACTGTTAAAAGCTTATAGTAAAGAAATCTTGCTTTCCTAACCTTAAGCCTAACTACTTACTGCAGGAGTGACTTGGCAAATTTCCAAAAGACTGTTCAAATTTCTCCCTTTCTGAGGCAAGTTACAGAAACCTCTACCTTTCCCCACTGAAACATAAGTATCCAATGTGCAAAAAAGAAAGAATTTGGGTTTTTTGTTGTTGTTAAAAAAACAAATCAGGTGCTACTTTCACATTGCAATGTTCAGCAAATAATGCATTTCTACCAGCTTTCACTTTTCAGATGGGCCACTTCCTAGGCTGAGAGGCAGGACACCAAAATGGGAAGGAGAAGTCAATGTCATAGTGTATAAATAGCTGTGGCCAAAAACAATATTGCAGAAGAGCCAATAGGAGATGGGCTCCCCAAATTGCGGCAGGAGTGACTTAATTCCATGTATCCCTTCATGAGGGCCTCAAGGAAAATTATCATCAGGAAATAAAAGGGGGTGGGGGTAGCAGCCAGGACTCCCATAAGATTTCTGATCTTTTGTGAAAGAAATAAACTTGCAGTGCTTTCTAGGGTTTCTGAAATGCACACCTATCTTTTAAATCTCAAATGGTACGGCCATGAAAAGGAAATCTTTTCCAATGTAAGTTGGTATAGAGAAAAAGAGTGCCCAATAAGAAGTTAGTCTTTTCTCAGACATACTTAAAAACCACTGAACAGGGGCGCCTGGGTGGCGCAGTCGGTTAAGCGTCCGACTTCAGCCAGGTCACCATCTCGCGGTCCGTGAGTTCGAGCCCCGCGTCAGGCTCTGGGCTGATGGCTCAGAGCCTGGAGCCTGTTTCCGATTCTGTGTCTCCCTCTCTCTCTGCCCCTCCCCCGTTCATGTTCTGTCTCTCTCTGTCCCAAAAATAAATAAACGTTGAAAAAAAATTAAAAAAACAAAACAACAAAAAAAAAAAACAAAAAAAAAAACCCCACTGAACAATACCAACGCCGATTTTACATTGTTTTACTCACTCGTTACACGAGGTAAAATTTGCCATCACAAGGCAAATCTAAACGAGAACCCCACTTCATACAAAAGTAAACCTTGCACTGTGTTCCTATCATCATTCATGACACACAATCGAAAGGTCCATAATTTCACACGATGACGGTTAATACACTTGAGATCAAGGGGCCAGACTGCATGGGGCACATAATTCACTTCCTAAATGTTTGCTGGACTTTTCAGGATTGCTCTCAAGTGTTGGAAGTCATTAAGTTTACCAAGATTCTGCAGCCGAGCACACGCACGTACTGTTTAGGGATCAGCGGCATTCACAAAATGTAGGCAATCACAAAGTTATGTAAGAAAAGCAGTCCCTCCTCTGAGGAATTAGTTCGGACGGACACACAAGAATCCAGGAAATCGCACATCCTCCTTGCGGGGCCGGGTTACAGGAACTAGGTAAGGAAACAATGCAAAGTACACTGGGAAACGACGGCAGTTCCAGCCGCAAAGATGCAGGCAACGCCACCAGAGGCATCTTCGAGCATTCCTTCGGAAGGAAGGTGTATGTTGTCCCTAAAGAGCCCCTGTTGACCTGGGTAACGGTACAAGCTGAAACCACCTCGTCCCGACACGAATTCCAGCACTGGAAGAGGAGACTGGGGTAGGAAGCATTAGATGACCCACTGCCTAGGGGTGCCGAAGCTGTCACCGCCCTGGGACTCGCGCACCGCCGGGCGCTGCCACCTGCTTTCTACTTCTTCAGGGAGGGCTGGTGACGCGTGGTGGGCCCGAGAGGAACCAGAGGCAAGGATAATGAATCTGCGGTTTCTAAAGCCCAAGCACAACAAGATGTCCCCAGAGTCCGACCCCCACAGCCGGGCGACTCTTCCCACGCGGCACGCTGCCCCAAGGGTGGAAGGCTGAGAACTTGCAGGCGTCTGAGGCGAGGGCCAGAGAGCAAATGGGGAGGGGGGCGACGCCGGGTCTCAGCGTCGGGGTCGCTCGGGCCCTAGCGCTCGGACCGTGGGAAGGTAGGCTGGGGGCGGGGCCGCGTGGAGCCAAATAGCCAGGGGCCGGACCTGGGAATCCCCCGGGGCGAGGGCGGGCGCGGGCGGAGAGGGACGCCTATGGCCGCTACCTGCTGCTGGATCTTCCCGTCCTCCGTGACGACCCAGTGCGTGGTGGCGAAGGCCCCTCGAGCCGCCACACTCAGCAAGGCGGAAAGACTGAGGAGCCAGCCTGGGCCGGAGCAAGGCGGCAGCTCGCACCGGCCGCGGACCCCTACTGCCGCCGCCATCTTGCCCCCCCGGCCCGGCTGCTCACACCGGAAGCGGAAGCGGGCCCCCGCCGCCCGCCATCTTGGGGAGGTCGGCGCTGGAGGAGGTGGAGCCCAGGGGGCGCTGCCCGCTGACGACCGGCTTTTTCAGCCTCGGTTTGGGCTACCGGGGCAGCCGGGTTTGGCTTTAGGTCGGAGACCGCGTTTTTGTTATTGTTTTCCTGTACGCGATACGATCTCGTGGGGTGGGAACCAGAGGGAGATAAAAGTAGTGTTCTAGGTGGAGCCTAAATTGAAATAACAGGATTCAGAGAATACGTACAGAGTGTGTATGTCTGTGTGTATATATTGATCTATATTAATAAAATCTTGGTTTTCGCTTTATTTCATTTTAATTCCTGGTTGTGCAATATAGTTGGGAAATAAAAGGTATGCTTTGAAAACGCCTAAGGGAAGAGATGGATTCTCTTTTATTCTTCAAGTCTCTTAACAGTAGAAGCTTCAGAGTTGGACTGGTTGTCAGGCAAGGGCAGCGCTCTTCAGTATAAGTACGTAAGCCTCGAGCCACATACAAATTTTTAAACAAAGACAGTGAAATAACACATTTTATTTAACCCATTATATGTAATATAGTATTAGTTCAATATGAAATCTGTACAAGTTACTGAGATATTTTTTGTACTTAGTCGTGGGAATAGGTGTGTATTTTAGATCTAGAGCTCAGGTAATTTCAGGCTAGCGAGATTTTGGGGCTTAAGAGCCATATGTGGGTAGTGGCTACCTCAGGTCTAGGCTGGAAGTCTAGATCTGGAGACCTAAACAGCATTGGCATCACCTGGCAGTTTATTAGAAATGCACATTCTTGGCTCTTCCACCCCTCCCCATCAGATTCTACCTTTCAGCAAGAGTCCCAGGGTACTGGTATGTACGTTAAGAAGCACTTCCCTCTAGTGAACCAACGTGGGGCCAAGCGACTAGCCTGCCTTCTCGCTTCTAGTTAGATAATGTTGTTTTAGGTATTTCAGGGCTGCCTTCTAGCTTTGTAGGTTCATTAAGCTTTTGGTTTTCTCTTTGGGAAAAGGAGGGTGAGAATTTTGCCTGACCACTTCCCTACTTTGGCATATTGCTGGAAAACAAAAATAATTGCCAAGTGTTTAAATATAACTTCATACTATGGAAGCAATGATCACAGCATTGGTTTTTAGTTCCTTCTGAAAGTAGGTTTTCTTAGAGGATTGCAGTAATGAACATGCATCTCCCTAAAAATGTGTGGCTTATCTGCTTTTTTGTCTAGTACTCTGCTAGACAGTGGGTATGGAGATCTGACCACTGAGCAATGTGCAAGCTAGTGGAATATTGGCAGGTTAACAATTGAAATACAGGATGTATTATTCCTGAGTATTCCTGTGTGTGTGTGTGTGTGTGTGTGTGTGTGTGTGTGTGTACTACATATTCTTTATCTCTTTATCTGTTCATCTATCCATGGACATTCGGGTTGCTTTTGTATCTTGGCTATTGTAAATAATACAGCAATAGAACATAAGGGTACATATATCTTTTCAAATTTGTGTTTTGTTTTCTTTGGATAATTTCCCAGTAGTGAAATTACTGGATTGTATGCTATTTCTATTTTTAATTTTTTGAGGAACTTCCATGTGTGGATGCACCAATTTACATTCCCAACAACAGTGCACAAGTGTTCCTTTTGCTCCACATCCTTGCCAACACTTGTTGTCTTTTTGATTCTAGTCATTCTGACAGGTGTAATGTAATATCTCGTTGTAGTTTTGATTTACATTTCCCTGATAATTAGTAATGTTGAGCATCTTTCTATGTGTCTGTTGGTCATCTGTATGTCTTTTTGGAAGAAAAATGTCTATTCAAGTCCTCTGCTCATTTTAAAATCAGATTATTTATTTTGGGGTTTTCTGGTGTTGAGTTGTGTAAGTTATTTGTATATTTTGGCTATTAATGCCTTATCAGATATATCACTTGCAAATATCTTCTCTCATTCAGGCTGCCTTTTCATTTTGTTGATGGTTCCTTTACTGTGCACAATTTTTTTGTTTTGTTTTGTTTTTTGGGTTTTTTTTGGGTGCAATCCCAGTACTTTATTTTTGCTTTATTTCCCTTGCCTTAGGAGACGTATCTAGAAAAATATTGATAAGACCAATGTCCAAGAAATTACTGCCTATATTTTCTTCTAGGAGTTTTATAGTTTTAGGTCTTATATTTAGGTTTTTAATCCATTCTGAGTTTGTTTCTATGTAGGAAAGTGGTCCAGGGGCACCTGGGTGGCTCAGTTGGTTAAGCGTCTGCCTTCAGCTCAGGTTATGATCTCATGGTTTGTGAGTTCGAGCCCCATGCACTGACAATGCAGATCCTGCTTGGAATTTTCTCTCTCTCTCTCTCTCCCCCACTAGCACTCGCTCTTGCTGTGTCTAACTAACTAACTAACCAACTAACTAAATAGTGCTCCAGTTTCATTCTTTTGCATGTAGCTGTCCAGTTTTCCCAGCACCATTTATTGAAGAGACTGTACTTTCCCCATTGTATATTCTTGCTTCCTTTGTTGTAGATTACTTGACCAGATAAGCATGGCTTTGTTTCTGGGCTCTCTGTTCTGTTCTGTTGATCTATATGTCTATTTTTGTGCTAGTGTCATATGGTTTTAATTACTGCAGCTTTGTAGTATATCTTGAAATTTGGGTTTGTGATACCTCCAGTTTTGTTCTTCTTTCTCAAGATTTCTTTGGCTACTTGAGGTCTTTTGTGGTTCCACATAAATTTTAGTATTAATTGTTTTAGTTCTGTGAAAAAGATTGTTGGTGTTTTGATAGGGATTGCATTGAATCTGTAGATTGCTTTGGGTAGTATGGACATTTTAACAATATTTGTTCTTCCAGTCCCTAAGCATGGAATATCTTGCCATTTGTTTGTGTCATTTTCAATTTCTTTCATCAGTGTTTTATAGTTTTTAGAGTAAGGTCTTTCACTTCCTTGATTAAGTTTATTCCTTGGTATTTTATTCTTTTTGGAGCAATTGTAAAATGGAATTGTTTTCTTAATATCTCTTCCTGCTATTTAATTATTAGCAAGTGAAACACAATTGGTTTTTTATGTATCCTGCAACTTTACTGACTTCATTTTTTACTTCTAATAGTTTTTTGGTGGAGTCCTTAGGGTTTCCTATGTATAGTATCATGTCATCTGCAAATAGTGACAGTTTAACTTCTTCCTTAACAATTTGGATGCATTTATTTTTTTTGTCTGAGTGCTGTGGCTAGGACTTGCAGTACTATGTTGAATAAAAGTGGTGAGAGCGGATATCCTTGTTCTTGTTCCTGATCATAGAGGAAAGCTCTGTTTTTCACCATTGAATATGACGTTAGCTGTGGATTTTTCATATATGGCTGTTATTATGTTGAGGTGTGTTCCCTCTAAATCCACCTTGTTGAGAGTTATCATGAATAGATGTTAAATTTTGTCAAATGCTTTTTCTGTATTTATTGAGATGTCATATGATTTTTATCCTTTCTTTTGTCATTGTGGTGTATCACATTGATTGATGTGCAAATATTGAACCATCCTTGCATCCCTGGAATAAATGCCACTTGACCAAGGTGAATGATTCTTTTAATGTATTTTTGAATGCAGCTTGCATTTTGTTGAGGATTTTTGCATCTATGTTCACCAGAGATACTTGCCTGTATGTTTGTTTTGGTGGTACTTTGTAAATTTTGAACAGCTAAACTTGTAATTCTTTGTTCAATTAATTATACATTCTTAGCATATGATAGCAGGAAGCATTTCCTGTACAAATATATTTTTATCTTCCAAAACCCTTGGTTAGTTTGACTTTTATTTATTATCTCTATAGAATTTTTGAAGCCAGGAATTGGACAGTGATAAAATGAACTTTCTGGATCATTTCCTCCTTTGGGCCATTTTAACTGAAAGTTGCAGAGAATCTCCATACTGTTTATTCCTTAGAGAAAATATAAGATATAAATATAACTGAGAGAATTAACATTCTGGTTTAAATTCTGTTAACTGATTATCTTTCACTTCATGGAAAACCAACTTAAATTGTAGTGGCTTAAATGTTTAACTTTAAAACATGATTTATTATATTTCATAGTTTGTTGGCTAGACTCATCTGGGTGTTTCTTCTCCTGCTTGGCTGGGGTCACTCATAAGGCTGCACTCAGCTGGGACCTCAGCAGGGGCTGTCCCAGAATGACTCCACATACATATCTAGTGCTTTAGCTGGAGTGGGTGAAATGGCTAGGAGTGGCTGGGTTGTCTCTCAGGATAGTTAGAGAGGCTTCTGACATGGTGGCCAGGCTCCTTGAGGGCCAGACCCAGAACTGGAAGTGTCTCTTCTGCATTCTACTGGTCAGAGAAGGGAATAAGGGTAGCTCAGATTCAAAGGGAAAAGGAAATAGACTCATCCTGATAAGTGAAGCATTATGTTCAAGCAGATATGGAAGGAATTATTGGCAGCTTACTTTGCATATAGTTAATTCCTTTAGAGGGATTTTGAATTGATAGAAGTTGAAAAGGTGGATAGGGAGGGAGGCTAGTTATGGCAGGGAGGGCTGTGGAGGTATATCTTTCCAACAGCTATATGTAAAGTGAACACAGTTTACAAAGGGAAGGCAGAGAGTACCTTAAATATAATAATTTCATTTAGAAATAGTTTGCCAAGTAGATCAAGCAGTCTGAAGCATGAGGACTACTATGGATGAGACCAAATGTCTAGTCAGCCAAGGATTCTAATTCACAGTGACACCAGGGCTGCTCTGAGGATAGCATGATGGTCAGCCCCAAAAGAATTTT